GAGATTGAACTAGGTATTGGATACCGACGATCGAATCTCGGGCAAGTAACATACCGATGACAAAGGGAACAACATATGTTGTTATGCGGTCTGACCCATAAAGATCTTCGTAGAATATGTAGGAGCCAATATGGGCATCCAGGTCCCGCTATTGGTTATTGACCGGAGACGTGTCTCGGTCATGTCTACATTGTTCTCGAACCATAGGGTCCGCACGCTTAACGTTACGATGACAGTTATTATGAGTTTATGCATTTTGATGTACCGAAGGTTGTTCGGAGTCCCGGATGTGATCACGGACATGACGAGGAGTCTCGAAATGGTCGAGACATAAAGATTGATATATTGGAAGCCTATGTTTGGACATCGGAAGTGTTCCGGGTGAAATCGGGATTTTACCGGATTACCGGGAGGGTTACCGGAACCCCCCGGGAGCCAAATGGGCCTACATGGGCCTTAGTGGAAAAGTGAAAGGGGCTGCCATGGAGGGCTGCGCGCCTCCCCCCCTCCCCTAGTCCTATTAGGACTAGGAGAGGTGGCCGGCCACCTCTCTCTCTCTCTTTCCCCCTTGGAGTCCTAGTTGGAATAGGATTGAGGGGGGAGTCCTACTCCTACCTCCTGCGCCTCCCTCCTTGGCCGGCCAGCCCTCCCCCTCTCAACCTTTAAATACGGGGGCAGGGGGCACCCCATGACACACAAGTTGATCCTTGAGATCGTTCCTTAGCCGTGTGCGGTGCCCCCTGCCACCAAATTCCACCTCGATCATACCGTTGCAGTGCTTAGGCGAAGCCCTGCGTCGGTAGTACATCAAGATCGTCACAACGCCGTCGTGCTGACGGAACTCTTCCTCGACGCTTTGCTGGATCGGAGCCCGAGGATCGTCATCGAGCTGAACGTGTGCTAAGAACTCGGAGGTGCCGGAGTAACGGTGCTTGCATCGGTTGGATCAGGAAGAAGACGTACGACTACTTCCTCTATGTTGTGTCAACGCTTCCGTTGTGATCTAAAAGGGTACGTAGATCAGACTCTCCCCCTCGTTGCTATGCATCACCATGATCTTGCGTGTGCGTAGGAAAATTTTGAAATTACTACGTTCCCCAACACCTATTCCCCCGAGGGCCCCGATCGCAAGTCGCGACGCAGATGTAGATTGCTCTCTGCCATGCGGCCGGCTGTTCTTCCTCTAGGTCCCCGGTCCCGTTGTGTTATGCCCCGTTCGTGAGATGCCTCTCATGTGCAAGACGAAGCCACCCCACTTATAAGGTCATCCCTAACCTCCTCTTTCTAGTTGGTCACGTTCATATGGTGCAACAGCAGTCAGATCTTAGAAGGTTTCGCATATGATGCAGTACAAAATTTTAATTTTATGTGCCCGTTGCTCTATTTCTTACTTCAGTCTGGACTTTGTCGGCACAACACCAATCGCCTTATCTATTGAAAAAGTTGCCTGTTATGTGTTCGATTGTCGTTCTTTGCATTCTCTCTCCAAATCATCATGATTGCAAATTTAACTTAAAAATTGGAAGAAGGTCTCAGCTATACACACATAACTTCAATCCAAAAAGAAATGAGACTCAGACTCCCGTAGTCGTCGGGTAGGTAAATGATCTTTTATTATTGCAAATGAAGCTTTTAAACTTTAAACATTTCATCTTGATGTTTGCCCTCTATCAGGTATTCGATTTGTCTAATTAAGTAAAGGAATACACTACTTACAATTTTTGTTTTATTTTGAAACAATAGACAATAATAAGTTAGGTAAAGGAATGAATCTAAAAAGAAATGAGATTATTATTTTGATCTTTATAGTAGGGGCCCCGGGTTGTAATTTCGCCCTGGGCCCTCGAAATATCAGGACCGGCCCTGATTGATGTCTCTATAGTCTGAAACTCAATGCGACCATAATTAATTTCCTTCTACCAAATTCCTTTCATTCCCATCTATAAAAAGTTTCTTTTTATGCACGTTCAGTGCTCAATTCAAGTAGGCTCACCAAGGGATACCTAATTTTTTTGACATTTTGGTGCAAAGTAGCTTAATTTGCCTCTCCTACTGTTTTCTTCAGAATTAGATGTTGAAAATGGTGTTGGAACTCTATTTGATTTTTGCTGCATTCTTAGTTGTTATTATTGATCAACAACGAAAGAGTTGATAAAATTCAAATTTAGTTCTCAATTCTTTTCGGTTCATTTAATTATAAAGATATGTATTCCTAGGTCGACGGTGGTCCAACCGCACCCTTCTTTAAAACAATAGGGTTTGGAGTCCCATGTGTTACAAATTTCATACCATTTAAACGAAACATAGAAAAGAACAAGCTATGTTTATCTATGACATTAAGCAACAACCAATGTTTATCTGCCGCATTTATAAAAAGAAATCTTTAGCTACAGCATTAAAACTAACCCAATCTTTAGCTACAACAGTTAAGGCTTCCCTATCTTTCGCTACAACATTTAAAATTAGACATGACATTTAAGACTTCCCTATCTTTAGCTACAACATTTAAGACTAGGCGATAAAGTCACTAGCTATGTTTGGCAATGTAAAAATACAACAATTTGGATAACCCATTCAATTAGTGTTTGTTACTGATGAGTAATTACAATACTAGTTACAGTTCTGCTATATATATGGACCAGGGCAAGTAATGGATACATATAAAAACCCAGTGAATTTCTCACACAATGGGGAAGCACATCAAGCACAATGCCCAACTTGTTGTCTTGCTTTCCATGGTTCTTCTAAGTTGCCTGGTTTCTTCAGTCGTACAAGGTAATGAACAATTGTAAATAATTATTTCGTGAAATTTCAGTGTTCATCCTTATGTTTAAAGTTTGTTTTGTCAACCTTGAGTACTCACCCCTTGGAAAGATCTAGAGTGGTTTTCTACATAGGCATTATCTACATGTTCATATACAAAATGAAATTACCTTCATGTTGAGATGATATAAATCTATTTGTTTTTCACTTCAGGACAGAGCATTGACGACAAGGGGAGCAGCACAACGACTATACGACCTAACGATGACCCCGACTGTGTGAGAGAGACGAAGTTGAAGTGGCCGCGGAAACGACAGTACTGCTGCAACTATTTTGCATATACTGGTCCATGCTACGATGACTATACTGTCTGCAAAGCCCATTGCCCGTGATTCAACACAATTCCCATGAATAGTTTTCATGTAATAAGGAATAGATGATATGCAATAAGTTTTCCTATCAATATTTACTTTTCCAATTGCTTAAGTGAATAAAGATATGATTTCCAAAATTATTATGGTGCTTGTACTTATCCCTATCAACTGTTTTTATCAAAAATACATTTTTTATGCAACAGAGACACACCGCTGGCACTACAGTGCAACGTAACAAAGGGTGGCCAGGATGGTGGCCTAGAATTTTTTCCACGGGCTCACTTGTGTGTACTTGAGCCCAAGAAAGACCAAAATAGGATTATTTTTGCACAGATAAAGATGTGATTTCTAAATTATTATTATCCTTGTACTTATCTATGTGAACTATGTTTTTAAAGAAATACTTTTTTTGTGCAATGGAGACACACCGCTAGCACTTCGGTGCATCGGCGTAAATGAGGGGTGGCTAGGATGGTGGTCCATGGACCACCCTGGGATTTTTTCCATTGGCTCACTTGGGTGCACAGGTGTGCTTCCCAAAAAAGTGAAAGCACAACTGCGCTCTATGGTTTCTGTTTTTCCCCGGGTTTTTTATTTATATTTTTTCTGTTTTTGGTTTTTACGGTCCTTATTTTTTCGTAGTTTTTGATTTTCCCCAGATTTCGGTTTGTTTTGTGCTTGTTTTTATTTATGGTTTTCCGGAGGAAAAAAGTTCACCCAAACTATTAAGATGGAATCTAGTTTCAAATATCTTGACGCAAGAAACCCAATGGTGGAAACAGTTTGTGATTTGGATGGACGGTTCGAGAGATAAAATGTTTTGAAAAAAAAATCTTAAAAATAAAATCTGAATTGTGACAAGTGCTATTTTCACCACATAGAAGGTGGAAGTTTTTTTTTTGAGACAGACAGAGAAGGTGGAAGTAATCTTTGCAAGGGTACCCTGTAACTAGTGATTCCGTGAAATCCCGAATAGGATTCCGGAGTAAAAGGTAACGATGGAAGAAACTGAGATGGAGATGGGCTAGGCCCAAATAAGAATGCGGCCTGCCTAAAAATGCCTGATGACCATTCTGTCTCTCCCTCCCTCTCTCTCTCTCTCTCTAGAATAATAATAAGATGTGTATTTTTCAAAATATCACCATATTGGCAGGAGTCGAGGAAAAAAACATATTGGCAGTCAGTAGACTCACCGTACACACACGATCGACTAGGTCCAGGCACAAGAATGCAGTTTTACATCTCACGCCTACGAATCTCAACGACCTACCTGTACGCACACGCACAAAAAAAAAGAAAAACGGGATTAAGATCCGTTGATGCACGATCTATGTGCCAGAAAGAAGCTCACTCAGCTGGATGATCAGAAGCAAGTAGTGTGATCTATGCAGTGACAATTATCTTGTCATCAAGTGCACGTTTTGAAAAAACTCTCTCATGTCATGTGCCTTTCCTTTTGGGTGAGCCTCCAGGAATAATCAAGTTACCGTGCATCAGTAATGATAGAACACCTGGTCTTACTGACATTGTAATTGCAGCAAACACGGACAACTGCCAAGTCATTTGTGGCTCTCTTCAGCCCACTATGGTTCAACACTCTTTCTGATATGTATTATATTTTGACCTCTTAAACTGTATTATATACGTATGTAGTCAGGTATAAAGTTACACATCTTATTAAGCAACTTGTTCAAAATTATACAATTATTTTATGTCGTTAAATATTTTTTTAAAAAATACTAAAAGTTAATACTCCCTCTGTCCCAAAATAAGTGTCTAAACCTTGTACTAACGTTAGTACTAAATTGAGACACTTATTTTGGGACGGGGGGAGTAGTAACTTCTCAAACATTATGTGCAACTCTATTTTTCAAGGTTATGTATAACTTCATCAACTATTTTTTGTGGCTTCCCAAATATTATAAGCTTTTTGATTGTGTCCACTATTTTCTGATTCTTTTTCCAAATAAAAATCATTTTCGGTGGAAATGTGCTCGTTTGTGCCAGAAAAAAGGGCTGACTTGGGAATACGGAAAAGATCCTTAATCCCATGTCGACGGCACTCCAATTGTACCCTTCTCTAAAACAGCTAGAGTTTGTAGCCCTATGTTTCAGAAATTTCCTACCATTTAAATGAAATATTGAAAAGAACAAGCTGTGTTTATCTACGACATTTCACACAAACTAATATTTTATTTGCCACAATTGAAACTAGAAATATTTAGCTACGAAATTTCAAACTTGTTTATCTAGCTATGACATTTAAAACTACCCTGTCTTTAGCTACGACATTCAAAACTAACTAGACGATGAAGTCATTAGCTATATTTGGCAGCTGAAATAAATACAAAAGTTTAGGTAACCCATTCAATTAGGGTTTGTTACTGAACCTGGGCTAGTAAAGGATAACTGCTCACACTTTGGTGAAGCACATCAAGCACAATGCCCATCTTTTCGTCTTACTTTCCAAACCAAAATAGGCCTAAGATGTTTCACATGGATTCAAGAAAAAACATTTCATGGGTCGTCATGCTGATATATAATTGCACAAACATAGTTAGTGAATACTCCTACTACTGGCCACAGCAAGGTCTTGTACAATCTGGAGCTACCCTTGAAGAACACATACACACAAACACTTTCTTCCTCCACAAACTCAAAGATGAACAGATTTGACGCACAAACACATGTCGCTTACTACTCCAGCCATCGCATCGCATGGCCTGATAGCGGATACCCTAAGGCAGGCACATGACTTCATTTCATACTCTCGACTTTTACTTTGATCTCGCCTTCGAACAAGGGAGGGGAGCGCCCTACCTAGCTATACACACAAGGAAACGAAATTAAGATCCATTGGTACACAACTTGCACACAGCAGCACTACCAGCATATCTTCCTCGCCCTACCTGACCGACACCTTGGGCGGTGGTTATGGTCCTCGCATGATCCGCCATCGCCATCTCTTACTGTCTGCCTCCGAGAAATGCCAGGGGCTGCAGCCTCGCTTGCGTCTGCAGTTGCAGCTCCGGCACTTTCTTCAGCGACCGGTACTGCAGCCGCGTGCTCTCTCCGCTGTCGAGCGCCTTCACAAGATACCTGCTCAATCCAAAGATTTTTATAGTCCAATAATATGCAACAGGTTCTACTACAGGAGCTGCAGTGAGACAGTGCGAACCCACAGTTCGCCCTGCGCTATTAAAAGAGAGTGAAGCACTGCACTTACCAGCCATTCAGACACTGCGACGTGATGACCGCCTCCTTCCCGATGAATTTCTCAGGCGTCCTTTTGTTCCCCTGCAAGCGTTTAGTGATCAGAACAAACTGCTCTTGCGATTTCACTTTACTCTCAGCAGAGCAATGTGTTGCGTGTACCATGATAAGGACCCTCTCGCCCACTACAAATGGGTACTGCACTCCCTTGAATGCCACCGGGCTTTCAGCATCCAGAGCAAGCTCACCGTTGTCCTGAGAAAACAACATGATGACTATCCAAACAGTATGCTACGTCGTAAAAGACTAGGTGTATGTTCAAAGCATTATACACACACTTTGCGACTCCCAGTCCGCTTCGGCACATCCGTATGCTCGATCACATCTTTCCTGCGCTTCCGAAGAGCAGCGTTATGAAACAGTCTCCTGTCATCCTCCATCTTCACCACCGTGGCTACTGCTCTTAAAGCTGTTCATAACAGAACACTGCCGATCGTAAGTGAGCAGGTGAAACATTTTTAATGCTAGTCTTAATAAGGAAGGTAAATATACGACAGAGACATACCAAGATTAGGAAACAAGGAGGATGGGTCAACTTCTCCATTGCAAATGGTGCATCTAGCCTGATTACAGAGATAAAAAGAAACAATTTGTTGGTTGGTGACATCCAAAAGACTGGAATTGCAGCACACAGAAAAGATACTATTTCAGGCTTGTATACTAAAGTATGCCTTTGCTGTGAGAAGGTTCATCGAAATGGCACTATTCTTCTCAGTAAGTTCCAGTTGGATTATCTGTTACTATGGCACATATCTTGATGTCTACTAAATACAAAAACTGGATGAATACCACAATTTAAGTTAGAAAAAATAGTGCTAGCATAAGTATTAAGAATATAACAGTTAACTTCAGTTGTAGCTAGCCAACAGAACATTAAGGACTGCAACTTGCAGGAAAGTGTGACCTTTATTCTAAAATCTACAACCAGAACACTGATAACTATCAGAAAGGATGAATGATTTTTTAAAGCATACCATTTCAATGACTTTCTTCAGCATGACGCCACCAAATGAGTGCCCACATTGGAGAACCATAGCATCTTCAAGAAAAGCCCCACTGAAAACAGACAAGTCCATTACTGCATTAATCAAGCAAATCAGCAACTGCGATGCCGAATAATGAGATGATCTGTAACATTGGTTTAGAGAAACAGAACGCTATGAACATTCATATTAAGCAATTTTGTCCCTCCCTTGCTCCCATTAAACTTACGATGAACTCATAAAAAATAGCAGATGTAGAAGGACCATGCAGAATAAGGCAGTTTACTGTCTATGTATATGTTGTGAACAAGTTTGTGATGAACAGCTACATCCAACAAGAAACAACTTACGATAGAGGGTCTGACAGGACACTTCTGAGTGATGGGTCACTAACAAAGTTGCCCTGAGATTCCTGCAGTTGAAATTGGTTAAATATGGGTTATTTTTTTAATTCAATAAATGAACAGGAAATGAAATGCACATAACACCCAAATCTTGTCATTTGACAGCTCTCATGTATCACTGGATGATTGACCATGTAGAACATGCATGCTACAGTAACTATGTTGCTTCGAACTTATGCTTACAGAAGGTTCTTCCAAGTGACTGGAAACAGCATGCTCTTCAGCATAAGAATCATCCATAAATTGGCTTGCAGGTATGGGTTGGTACACCTGTCGTATGCAATGCCCAGCAGCTAAAATTGGAGAGCAATCCAATATAGCGTTGGCATGAGGGACCAACCTAAAGGTGAGTGATGCCCTACAAGATGGAAATTGTGGTTAGATGGCCAATTCATGTGTACAGGAGCACAAGGAATATAAGCCAAAAAAAGTATATGAAATGAGATGGTGAGACGTTCCAGTATTTCATAATTCTGACCTATTTTCATTAGTGACCCTGTACTGGGAAATTGGGCAAAGACCAGCGGTAACGTGACTTAGGGCCCTTCCAGTCAGAAGCAATAGATTATTTGGGCCTGAAACCCCATCAGCTAGGTACCAATGGCCATTTGGGTCACAAACCTATACCAAAGAAACAAACACTAAACAATTATGACTTGGGCAGATGAACTGTATCGAATAAGACTGGAATCAGTTGGACACAGTACAAAAGGAGAAAACAAGAAGTAAACAATAGGAAAACGGTAGCGTATTTAACCAAAAGTAAAGTAGCCATGACTCAAATACTCTTATTGCTGCATTCAAATTTTATATAGGTGTAAGGAGCAGAATCTTGTTACCTCAATTCCTGGATAATCGGAAGCAACTAGCGTCACAAATCCCCTATCAACTTGAGGCATTGAGGACCTGCTGGGACATCCCATGAGTGTGTGACCACTTTGGAGCTGTTCATGAGAATATGCCACCAGCAACTCTGATGAGGAGACCTCGTTATCCGGCAGTGGAGTATCATCAAGTAATTGGTTGAATACGCTGGATAACAGGGCATGATTATTAGCCAGTAGAATTCTGGGAGCGTGAAAAGCATATTAATCAATAGTAAAAGAAATTCAACGAACGGATAAAGGGCTAGAATTGTACTCGGTACGTAGGCGCAGGTGCCGTGCTATTGCACAGAGGGCGGCCCGGGCTGCTTTGCCCAAACATCTGAAAGCATCAGCCATGCAAGCAGGGGACAACTCTCCATCTTCCAAAGTCCTGACATAGAGGAGAACTGAAAAATATCAGAAACTAACCGCAAAATGTTGCCCACTATGACAGAAGACGAAAAAAAAACATGTGCAGAGCAGTGCCGTAATTAGCTTACATCTGACAGCCCCCTTTGCCTAACAATCTAGTATATAGAGGTTAGTATATCAGCAATAGAGTCCTTACCCATAAGACTCTAATTCTAGGCTCCTCCTAATTTTTCTATAATCAACATGTTTTTTTTCATTTCATTTTTGGATTTTAAAACATATACGTAAAACACAATCTACTATGCTAATACTGGCATACATATGAGGCAAATTCTTGTACTCACTCCGATCCAAATTAAATGCTGCAGCTTTAGTACAAAGTTGTACTGACGCTGCGTCATTTAATTTGGATCAGAGGGAGTACATCTTCTTTGCTATAAGAGGCAATTCTTGTACATTTACATTTTGAGTATGAAGCAATTCTTGTACATTTTGTGTTGATAGACCACAAAACTAATGTATACAGCAACATCTGTCAGTTCACTAAGAGTAATGCTAGAGTACTCAAAGAGATGTAACCATCACCATTCTATTTCAGTCACGCTCACCCTTATGAAAACAGAGATGTAATCAGCCCTGGAAAAAGAGGAAACAGAGCAATATTCCGAATATTCAGGAATGTTGTATATGCTCAGCCAGCTCTTTCAGACTTTCACCCTTGTGATTCGCTCACACTCGAGCGCTGAGCCAAACCGGAATCTAAACTACTGAATTCCAGTCAAATCGAAGACGAAGTAGGCTGCAGATAGGGTTGTGAGCAAGCGTACCTCCCGGCGCGGTAGAGGTAGGCAGCGTGGCGGCCGCGGAAGAAGGCGCGGGCGGACTCGAGGGCGCAGCGGAGGACGGCCGCGTCCGCGGCGGGGAGCTCGAGCACAGCGGCGCCGCGGCGGGCGAGCGAGGCGGCGAGGGCGCCGACGGCGCGCGCGTAGCCCGGGGCGGCCGCGCCGTCGTGGGGCGCCACGTCCTCGAGCCGCACCCTGGCGAGCGGCGACGGCGGGCAAGGAGGGCATGCCATGGCGGGCGGGCGAGGATAGGCTAGGGTTCCGAGCGGGTCGATTGCTGATTCGCCGCCATTGAGCTTGGGTTGGCTCAGCGCCTACTCAGCTTGAGCGACTCCAAGAAAAATGATGCTCCTCAAAATAAAATGTGGACCCTACTTTTAACTATGGTGCTACTTTCATACTCTGAGCGTGTGTGCGTTCATAGAGATAAGTGTATGCGCATGTATATGAGCGCTTGTGTCTGTATTGATGCTCAAAAAAAAATTAAGTGACTCGAGTTTGTATTAGAAGATTCGATTTAAGCCATTGTTGCCCTTCGACAAGGATGGCCACCTGCAGCGTCACCTTAAGGACAGTGGGGCTCTCAGAACAGTCAATGCGATAAAGGGTCCACACTTTCTGAAAAGATGCGACATATTTTTCCTTGTGCCCACCCAAAATGAGAGACTCGAGCCTAACTTAATGACATCAAGTTTCGAACCCCGATATGCTACGTTGCGGCGTAACTGAAATGGTGGTGCGGCGGCGGCGTCTTCAGTTGGTCCTGATGAGGTAAGTGAAAATTATGATAGTGATGTATGTTAGAGAATATTATGCATATATTCATCCATTTGTAAATGAAAAGAAAATTGTCACATAACAATATGAGCTTTTGTGATCCGCTGCTAGCTTTTGCCTGCTTAATTTTTCCCTTGCGGGGCTATGGGCCTCCTAGTCTATGTCTGAGCCCAGTTACGATGTTGACACCAACTCCGTAAGCTGACATCACACTGAAGTTGCAGCTCACTGACAAGCCTCTATCCGTGTTGATTGGATCGTGCAGAGATAGATAGTAAGTCGTTTGTAATTGTAAAGCCAGCTTTTCTCCTTCTACTGTTCACAAACAAAACCAAGTGACATATGAAGTTGGTAGACAAATAGACAAAATTTTAGTGCAAACCCTAATGTTGAAAGCGTGATGTTTAAGTTTAGGCAAACAAATCACCTCCTCATCAGCTCGCACATCACCTTCCACGCAGCAAGCAATGAAAAACAATTAAGAATATAGCAATGCAACAACAACAACACCAATTACATTGTAGCAAAGCAAACAAAAAGTCCATCGGCGTCAAACATAGCTTAGTGCAGCGTTTGTATATATCACAATAGCATAGATAGCATACAAGTGAATAAACATAAATTGGAACTCGAGCACTCTCGAGTTTGTCCTCCTCATCGTCATCCTTTGGACCATGGTAGTGAGCGACCTCAATGCGGCTAAAGTCCATCTTCTTCCACCCATCCTTGGCGAACACGTCCGTCTTGGCCACATTGGCCAGGTAGTTGTAGTAGACCTCGACATAGCCCAGTATGTCGATCCTCGATCGCGTTGATAGCCAGTGTCTTGTGATCTAGGCTCTGGTATGTCGCTGCCATGGGGATCACAACCTTGAGAGCCATGTCGGAACCATCGGAGCTTAGCAGTGGCCTTGGTCTTCGTCTTACATGTCCCCTTGTTCATAGTACACATGTGATTGGCGGTGGTGGAGTACATCGTCTCAGTCAGCCTGAGAAGGGTATGAGGCAAAGGCACTATCAGGCTTAGGTTGTGTCTGTATTCGTATTAGTTGAAGATCATCTAGTTGGTTGCCACACGTGACTGCTAACCAGTTTTGCACCCCACTGCACGATACCAACGAAACTCTCTTGGCCTTACACCTTCATGTAGCTGTTGGGTAACGTAGTAATTTCAAAATTTTCCTACGCACACGCAAGATCATGGTGATGCATAGCAACGAGAGGGGAGAGTGTGATCTACGTACCCTTGTAGACCGACAGCGGAAGCGTTAGCACAACGCGGTTGATGTAGTCGTACGTCTTCACGGCCCGACCGATCAAGCACCGAAACTACGGCACCTCCGAGTTCTAGCACACGTTCAGCTCGATGACGATCCCCGGACTCCGATCCAGCAAAGTGTCGGGGAAGTGTTCCGTCAGCACGACGGCGTGGTGACGATCTTGATGTACTACCGTCGCAGGGCTTCGCCTAAGCACCGCTACAATATTATCGAGGATTATGGTGGAAGGGGGCACCGCACACGGCTAAGAATATGATCACGTGGATCGACTTGTGTGTGTAGGGGTGCCCCCTGCCCCCGTATATAAAGGATCAAGGGGGGGGTGCGGCCGGCCAGGAGGAGGGCGCGCCAGGAGGAGTCCTACTCCCACCGGGAGTAGGATTCCCCCCTTTTCTAGTTGGAATAGGATTCGGGAGGGGGAAAGAGGAGAGAGAGAAGGAAAGGGGGGCGCCGCCCCCCTCTCCTTGTCCTATTCGGACTAGGGGGGAGGGGCGCGTGGCCCAGCCCTGGCCACCTCTCCTCTCTTCCACTAAAGCCCACTAAGGCCCATATACCTCTTCTCCCGTATTCCCGTAACTCCCCGGTACTCCGAAAAATACCCGAACCACTCGGAACCTTTCCGATGTCCGAATATAGTCATCCAATATATCGATCTTTACGTCTCGACCATTCCGAGACTCCTCATCATGTCCCCGATCTCATCCGGGACTCCGAACTCCTTCGGTACATCAAAACTCATAAACTCATAACATAACTGTCATCGAAACCTTAAGCGTGCGGACCCTACGGGTTTGAGAACAATGTAGACATGACCGAGACACGTCTTCGGTCAATAATCAATAGCGGAACCTGGATGCTCATATTGGCTCCTACATATTCTACGAAGATCTTTATCGGTCAGACCACATAACAACATACGTTGTTCCCTTTGTCATCGGTATGTTACTTGCCCGAGATTCGATCATCGGTATCTCAATACCTAGTTCAATCTCATTACCGGCAAGTCTCTTTACTCGTTCCGTAATACATCATCTCGCAACTAACTCATTAGTTGTAATGCTTGCAAGGCTTATGTGATGTGCATTACCGAGAGGGCCCAGAGATACCTCTCCGACAATCGGAGTGACAAATCCTAATCTCGAAATACGCCAACCCAACATGTACCTTTGGAGACACCTGTAGAGCTCCTTTATAATCACCCAGTTACGTTGTGACGTTTGGTAGCACACAAAGTGTTCCTCCGGTAAACGGGAGTTGCATAATCTCATAGTCATAGGAACATGTATAAGTCATGAAGAAAGTAATAGCAACATACTAAACGATCGAGTGCTAAGCTAACGGAATGAGTCAGGTCAATCACATCATTCTCCTAATGATGTGATCCCGTTAATCAAATAACAACTCTTTGTCTATGGTTAGGAAACATAACCATCTTTGATTAACGAGCTAGTCAAGTAGAGGCATACTAGTGACACTCTGTTTGTCTATGTATTCACACATGTTTTATGTTTCCGGTTGATACAATTCTAGCATGAATAATAAACATTTATCATGAAATAAGGAAATAAATAATAACTTTATTATTGCCTCTAGGGCATATTTCCTTCAGTCTCCCACTTGTACTAGAGTCAATAATCTAGTTCACATCGCCATGTGATCTAACATCAATAGTTCACATCTTTATGTGGTTAACACCCATAGTTCACATCGATATGTGACCAACACCCAAAGGGTTTACTAGAGTCAGTAATCTAGTTCATATTGCTATATGATTAACACCCAAAGAGTACTACGGTGTGATCATGTTTTGCATGTGAGAGAAGTTTAGTCAACGGGTCTGCCATATTCAGATCCGTAAGTATTTTGCAATTTTCTATGTATACAATGCTCTGCTCGGAGCTACTTTAGCTAATTGCTCCCACTTTCAATATGTATCCAGATGAAGACTAAGAGTCATCCGGATCAGTGCCAAAACTTGTATCGACGTAACCCTTTTACGACGAACCTTTTGTCACCTTCATAATCGAGAAACATATCCTTATTCCACTAAGGATAATTTTGACCGATGTCCAGTGATCTACTCCTAGATCACTATTGTACTCCCTTGCCAAAATTAGTGTAGAGTATACAATAGGTCTGGTACACAGGATGACATACTTCATAGAACCTATGGCCAAGGCATAGGGAATGACTTTCATTCTCATTTCTATTTTCTGCCGTGGTCGGGCTTTGAGTCTTACTCAATTTCACACCTTGTAACACAGTCAAGAATTCTTTCTTTGACTGTTCTATTTTGAACTACTTCAAAATCTTTTTAAGGTATGTACTCATTGAAAAAAAACTTATCAAGCGTCTTGATCTATCTCTATAGATCTTGATGGTCAATATGTAAGCAGCTTCACCGAGGTTTTCTTTGAAAAAATCCTTTCAAACACTCCTTTATGCTTTGCAGAATAATTCTACATTATTTCCGATCAACAATATGTCATACACTTATACTTATCAGAAATGATGTAGTGCTCCCACTCACTTTCTTATAAATACAGGCTTCACCGCAAGTCTGTATAAAACTATATGCTTTGATCAACTTATCAAAGCGTATATTCCAACTCCGAGATGCTTGCACCAGTTCATAGATGGATCGCTGGAGCTTGCATATTTTGTTAGCACCTTTAGGATTGACAAAACCTTCTGGTTGCATCATATACAACTCTTCTTTAAATCCATTAAGGAATGTAATTTTGTTTATCCATTTGCCAGATTTCATAAAAATGCGGCAATTGCTCCGAGTTCTAGCACACGTTCAGCTCGATGACGATCCCCGGACTCCGATCCAGCAAAGTGTCGGGGAAGAGTTCCGTCAGCACGACGGCGTGGTGACGATCTTGATGTACTACCGTCGCAGGGCTTCGCCTAAGCACCGCTACAATATTATCGAGGATTATGGTGGAAGGGGGCACCGCACACGGCTAAGAATATGATCACGTGGATCGACTTGTGTGTGTAGGGGTGCCCCCTGCCCCCGTATATAAAGGATCAAGGGGGGGGGGTGCGGCCGGCCAGGAGGAGGGCGCGCCAGGAGGACTCCTACTCCCACCGGGAGTAGGATTCCCCCCTTTTCTAGTTGGAATAGGATTCGGGAGGGGGAAAGAGGAGAGAGAGAAGGAAAGGGGGGCGCCGCCCCCCTCTCCTTGTCCTATTCGGACTAGGGGGGAGGGGCGCGTGGCCCAGCCCTGGCCACCTCTCCTCTCTTCCACTAAAGCCCACTAAGGCCCATATACCTCTTCTCCCGTATTCCCGTAACTCCCCGGTACTCCGAAAAATACCCGAACCACTCGGAACCTTTCCGATGTCCGAATATAGTCATCCAATATATCGATCTTTACGTCTCGACCATTTCGAGACTCCTCGTCATGTCCCCGATCTCATCCGGGACTCCGAACTCCTTCGGTACATCAAAACTCATAAACTCATAACATAACTGTCATCGAAACCTTAAGCGTGCGGACCCTACGGGTTTGAGAACAATGTAGACATGACCGAGACACGTCTTCGGTCAATAACCAATAGCGGAACCTGGATGCTCATATTGGCTCCTACATATTCTACGAAGATCTTTATCGGTCAGACCACATAACAACATACGTTGTTCCCTTTGTCATCGGTATGTTACTTGCCCGAGATTCGATCGTCGGTATCTCAATACCTAGTTCAATCTCATTACCGGCAAGTCTCTTTACTCGTTCCGTAATACATCATCTCGCAACTAACTCATTAGTTGTAATGCTTGCAAGGCTTATGTGATGTGCATTACCGAGAGGGCCCAGAGATACCTCTCCGACAATCGGAGTGACAAATCCTAATCTCGAAATACGCCAACCCGACATGTACCTTTGGAGACACCTGTAGAGCTCCTTTATAATCACCCAGTTACGTTGTGACGTTTGGTAGCACACAAAGTGTTCCTCCGGTAAACGGGAGTTGTATAATCTCATAGTCATAGGAACATGTATAAGTCATGAAGAAAGTAATAGCAACATACTAAACGATCGAGTGCTAAGCTAACGGAATGGGTCAAGTCAATCACATCATTAGATCCCGTTAATCAAATAACAACTCTTTGTCTATGGTTAGGAAACATAACCATCTTTGATTAACGAGCTAGTCAAGTAGAGGCATAATAGTGACACTCTGTTTGTCTATGTATTCACACATGTATTATGTTTCCGGTTAATACAATTCTAGCATGAATAATAAACATTTATCATGAAATAAGGAAATAAATAATAATTTTATTATTGCCTCTAGGGCATATTTCCTTCAGTAGCATCCCCTAATTTAAGCAAATGACCACCTTCATATGCCTCCAAACCGCAAGCATCTCACTGAAAAGCAGCAAATCTTCTTGAATCATCCCTCAACCATTGCCT